TATATATACAGGTGCACACCACCATGTCTGGCTAATTTTATAATTATTTATAAAATTTATAATTATTTAAAAAATTAGCCAGACATGGTGGTGTGCACCTGTGGTCCCAACTACTCAGGAGGCTGAGGCAGGAGGATCGCTTGAACCTGGGAGGTCAAGGTGGCAGTGAGCCATGATCATGCCATTGCACTCTATCCTTGGTGACAGAATGAAACTTTCTTTAGAAAAAAAGGCGGGGGGAGAAAAAGAAAGAAAAATGGTAAACATCTTAGAAAGGCTCTGCACAATATTATCGTAGGAAACTCCTTAGGTATGTTCTCATCATTTATTTTAATGAAGAAAAGAGAGGAAATGCTAAAATAACTAATATGACTATGTACTTTACAGAGTGGGTACAATGGACTGATAGTATTCTGAAACACTGTACCTAGGAAACATACCTAGGACCACATACAGACCAAGAAAACTGAAGATTCTATGGATACTTTATGATATTTATTAGATTCTTGCCTACAGAAGAAAACTAATATTCCTATGGTCAAAAGATTTTAACTTTTACATTCTGAAGATAAGATTCTGTCAATTTTCTGAGGTAATGAAGAGAATTAATTTTGGAAACAGGCAGGTCTGGGTTAGATCCCTACTCCACCTCTGTAGTAGTAGTGGTAGCAGTAGTAATAGTAACTGTAGTGGCAGAAACCCTATCCTTAACACTAACTCTATTATTCTACAACTACTATTACCATAACTGCGACCATTACTAATCTTAAAGGTTCCGTTTTGGATTATAGTAAAGATCCAATTCCAGTTGTGGGGATAAGAGATACAGGTCCATAGAGAACTCTTTCCAGAACCCAAAAGGAGAGAAAAGCAAGCTTTAAATCTATTAGCTAAGGAATATATTCTTCCCTCAAAATTTGAACTTTCAATGGGTCTTTGTTATGATGTTGTCTGATCCTAGAGTTTTACATCAACAAAAAAGAAGATACAGAGACCGTAGAGAAAGCAAGTTTAAACAACAGCACTGGGTTACATTATTCTATTAAGACACCTATCAAGATTGTGTATGTATATATATTTGCTTAAGAAAATACAGAGATGATGGTAAATAAATGGAACAGAAAGACAAGTATGGGGTATGTAAAGTACTATGTTCACAGCTAGGGACATGGGAGTAGGTGATAAGGTTAGAAGAGATGGAAAAGTGTCTGAGAACACTCCTTGCTCATTTAAAGTAAGAATCTAGGGTCTTTCATGAATATTTTTTCAAAGAGCAGAGAAAGTGAAATTGCCTAGACCCAAAACAAAGTCTACACACACACACACACACACACACACACACACACACACACACACACACACACAGGCTACATAAAAAAGCCTACTTCTTTCAAAAGAAAAGTCTCCAACTCTGACATTTTCCACAGCTTAGGGTAGAGGCGAGGAAAAAAGCAATTCAATGCTTGCTTCTAACATTCTTTAGCACTCCTTGCTTTTGAGATCTTTTTGTTCTCTTGAGGATTAATATCTTGGTAACTAACACATTTACGCTGAACTGAGCTTATATCAATTATTGAAATTTCCTTCATGTTTAAGGCATACTCATACCTGTAACCACAATGTATAATGAGAAAAAAAGAAGGCAGGAAAGAGTTCCTTACACGTGTGTGTGCACGTTATGTGTGTGCATGCGTGTGTTTATGCTGTGTTTTGAAGGGGGAGTCATAAATCCCATTTCATTGTGCTTGTTATCCTCTGATTTTCTTCTTGAGTTTTATTTATCAAAATTTTTCAATAATTAAAAAAAAAACTGAGAACTTAGGGTTTTTTCACTATTTTTTTCTTTTGCTGCAAATGCAAAGTTTGTTATATGTTCCAAAAGACTGAGATGTTAGTAAGCAAACTGAAACATTATATTCTTTGCTGGTGATTATTAATTATATATAAAATCAACATGTTTTCATACAAATTAAATAAAATAATTGCAGCTTATAATGTTTTCATATTCTCTAGGCATTTTTTTTCTCAAGAAAAATGTCTTTTTGCTGGGTGCAGTGGCTCATGCCTGTGGGCACTTTGGGAGGCTGAAGTGGGCAGATCACCTGAGGTCAGGAGTTCAAAACTAGCCTGGCCAAGAGGGTGAAACTCCATCTCTATTAAAAATACAAAAATTGGCTGAGTGTGGTGGCAGGCACCTGTAATCCCAGCTACTTGGGAGACTGAGGCAGGACAATCACTTGAACCCAGGAAGCAGAGGTTGCCGTGAGCCCAGTTTGCGCCATTGCACTCCAG